CTGACATCCTGAACACCCAGCTGAGCCCCAAGGTGGAGGGGGATCCTAAAGCCCCCTGAGCAGCCCGTCACAGCTACCACAGCAACCCTTTGGGACCTCTTGGGATCGTAATCCTGGGAAAAAAACAACAGCAAATTCAGTAGGATTCTGGATTCTTCACCAAAATAAAAGCTGCTGCCAAACTTCCAGCAGATCTTTGGGACTGAGGCCTCTGGAAAAGCATCTGAAGGCAGCAAACTGTGCTGAGCAGGTCCTGGGGGAGCAGGGGGCTCAAAGAGACTTTTCCTTGCTTGCTCCACCATGATCTCTGGTTAAGGGCTCCTGGCCACGTGTGGAAAAGCAGAAGAAACCTTTGCAAATTCCTTCCCAGCTCTGTCAGACCAAAAGCAAGGAAATCCTTTTGGATAAAAGTGTGGCTTGGTGCATCTTCCTGAAGGATGTCTGGCCAGGACCCTGAGGAGTTTGGAGCAGAAATCCTGTCAGAAAAGTCTCGGATGATCCCTGGGCTCCCTCCTTATGACATGGATGAGCAGCTCCTCCCCAGGGAGCCCCGCAGCCCCTGGTGCTGCCTGGCATGGACCCTGGTGATAGGAACCATGAACTGCCTGCTGTTCCTGCTGAATTTGCTCCTGATGTTGGTTATTTTCACCGTTGTGCTGCTTCCTACCATCGTGGTGGTTTACTTTGGCTTCCAGTGCCACTCCCAGGTAAGTGCCACTCCTCGAGGGCAGGGCCACACCTGAGGGTTCCTTTGAGCCCCAGGTGACTCTAAAGGCCAGGCAAGACTCCTCAAGTTTTGGCTTTGTTTCCTTAAGGAAACAAATTTTTCCCTGTGTGAATAGTCTGGACAAGAACAGGTATTGTGAGAAGCTGGGCAATAAAGTTGTGTCTCCTTGCAAGTGCCAAGCAGAGGTGCCAGGTGAGGTGAACACACTCCCTGCCCTGATGGAGTTGCTGTTTGCATTTTCTTTTCACAATTTTTCCCTCTTCCCTGGGATTTGTGTCACTGAGAGCTGCCAACCTGAGCTCCAGAGCTCACAGTCCTGCCTGGGCTCGGGTAGGGTTTGCTGCTTTCTGTTTAAGTAAGTTTAAGCTCCATTAGGATCTGCCTAATGATAGGATTAGTAAAATCTGACAGAATATATAATCCCCTTCTCGTGCCAACCAAACACTCCTGTTCCCAAACATTCTGTGCATTCCTCACACCAAAAATGAGCCTCCTTGGTCCACCCAGGCTCTCTTTGCTGCCCTCTGCACTGCATTATTTCCTAATTTACAAATCTCCTCTTGCTATATCCCTTTAAGCATTTTTTGGCATCACTTGACCAAGCGTGGATGTGAAAAAGCAGTTTTCTGTTTTCCTTGCAGGCATGGGCTGTTAGACCAGCTCAATGTGCCTGTTTCATAACCCATAAACAGGGACTTCAAATTGCACAGAAAATGGGAAAAAAAAAACAAAAAACCTCCCAGAACTGCCCCTTCCAGCTTCCCTCACCTTGGAAAACCTCAAGTTCTCCTTTGCATGCTCACTCAAAGGCTTTGAGGAGATGCAAAATGTTTTTGAGTGCAGCCAAGTGGACCAGAAATGAAAGCCCCTGTGTTGCTGGAAGCTCTCTGAGGAGTCTTTTAAACACAATCCTTTCCCTGAATGCAATCACAGCAGAGGATTGTGGCTCCACCAGAGCAGTCCCTGTCTTTGGGCCATGGTTTTTTCAGTGCCTCCCCAGCAGCCAGAGGCTGATTTCTGCACTGCAGCTCCATTAGGTGGATTTATTGTTGGTTTTTAGCATGATGGGTTGTGTTCCTTTCACTGCTGAAAGGAAAAAGAATGAAATCTGGGGACGTGGGGGCTGCCTGCAGCATTTGTTAGTGCACAACAACCTCAGTGCTCAGCTCAGCTCTGCTGCTGCCAGCATGAAAGGAGAGCTTTAAACACCACTCAGCCAGGCCCAGAGAGCTTTTCTTTGCAAATGGACTCTCCTGGCAGGTTTTTCAGGCAGAAATGAGTGTACACAGAGAGCAGAACACAAAAAGGGTCTGGAGAGCCACAGAATGACCAACCTCTGTCTGCAGAAGCTAACAGATTTCTGGTTTTTTGTTTGTTTTGGTTTTTTTTGTTTTGTTTTGGTTTGGTTTGGTTTGGTTTGGTTTTTTTTTTTTTTGTTATTCCCAGTATTGTGCCACCCACACTGATGTGGCAGCAGGAGGATTTTTGATTTGGTTGGTGCCTATCAAATGCTATGGGATGATTTAATAAAGATGAGTGTTTCCTGCTCCAGGATCAGCGTGCAGTGCTCTTGTCTCACAGGGCTGCTGGGATAATTAAAAGTTTGATTAAGATGTGAGACCAGTCACAGAGTGTACCTGAAGATTGCTCAGCTCTGAGAGAGGGAAGAGATGACTTTTTCCATGAAAACATTGGAAACTCAAGGGTATTTTGGCTGCTGTCACCACCAGGCCACATGGCAGGGGTGGCCCTGGCAGTGTGGGAATTTTGGAGCTCTCTCCTAATTTTACAATCCTGATTGTCAGGAAAATTAATCCACAAACACCAGAGGTTTGTGTCCAAAAAGGAGACAGAGGAGTCCTGGAACTTTATTGGAATAAAGGGAGAGGCCATGGGACATTCCCTGGGGTCTCTCCAATTTTTGGAGGACTCCCCTCCCTTTTATCCCAATTTCCCTCTCTCTTTCCCCATTGCTGAGGGGCTGCAGAGGCACAGACTGCCCAGACCTGATACCTGAGATTCCCCTCTAATGCACAACCCTCTCTTTGAATTTTTAATTCTTACAGAATTCATGGTTTTTTCCCCATTGCTTCTTTCACCTTTCAATATCCACTTTCATTTATCAACAACCCTGCACTTTGTTTGTAAGGCCAAATACCTTTTCCCATTCAATCACTGGAATCCTTCCCGTTGTTTCTTTTATCTCTCGGTGCTGATCCACCTTTATCTATCTTGTTTGCAGAGACAAAACCCAACATTTCCTCTCACGATTCTCACCCTCCCCACAGGTGCTGCACTCCTCTGCCCGCTACTGCAAGAGCATCTTGGACGACAACAGCTCCTCTGCCCTCATCATCCTGGGCTTTGTCATCATGTCCCCGCTGCTCGTGGTGGCCATGGCCATTTATTGCAGCCTGGCCCGGCGCCTGCAGCTCCTCGTGTGCTTCCAGCCCTTCAGCCTGGCTGTCTACAAGGGGGGACACTGCTGTCACCCCAGGGATGGGGGTCTGTGCTGTGCCAGGGGCTGCAACACCCAGCTCAAAGCCTGGGTGTGAGCCTGCAGCAGCAGCAGGGTGCCCTCCCTGTGCCCCATCCTCATCCTCAGCCTTCCCTGTGCAGCTGTCACTGCTCAGCCCTTCCACCCTCTGATTAATCCCTAAAAAAAAAAAAAAAAAATTAAAAAAAATAATCTGCAGCAGAGTGAAAACACAGGTAAGGGCAGCTCCATCCTCCCAAATCCTCTCTGGTGGTGTTTGTTGGTGTTGTTCCTGTCTGTGTGCTGCTCCTTGCTGGCTGCTGTCCCCTTTTGTCCCCAGTAAAACCATTCCCAGTTTTCTGTAGAAATAAAGTTCGTGCCCAATCTCCCCCTGGAGGAGTTTGTTCTGTCTCAAAGGCCTGGCTGCAGCACAGCCACCTCTTGTTCCCCATTTGGTAGCACTGGAAGGTAAAATGGAATTTTTGTTTTCTTTCCTGAGCATTGATTTTTCCTGCTATTTGCCTTGATACCACCCAGAGGAATAACCAGGGGTGGCTACAGGAGAAAGTGAACTGGAGGGGAAAGAAAAAAAAAAAAAAAAAAAAAGGGAGGAAAACGAGTTGACATTTTCTGTCAAGACTGAAGAAAAACAAGAAAGTTCTGTTCCAGGCAGGGGAGATGGTGCTACAGGATAACAAGGTTTTGCCTGAGGGCAGTGTCTGCTCACTGGGTACAGATATTTGATAGGAGCTGCTGTTCTTTTTGCTCACCTGTTGTTTAATCCAACTGCTTTTACAAGGAAAGCATTCTTCAGCCTGGCAGGGCTGCAAGTATTGAAATGAGCCATCCCTGCTGCTGTCTCTGCAAAGAAACCCAGAGTTATTTGCTACAGCTTTCCCCAATAAAGCAGAATTGTGTTTAATTTGGTATTTTAATAACCAAGGGGAAATGAATTTACCTGAAATGGCAGCAGCAGAGCACACAGCTCAGGCTGTACCTCAGGGTGTCCTGAGCACAGTCAGGCATTCCCAGGAGTGCTGGAGCTCCGAGGTGAAGCTGCCTTGATCCTAAATTTCCTGTAGGGAGCACAGAGCCACATCCTGAGCCTTGGGTCAGGTCCTGAGGCAGCTGTGCCAGCCAGGGACTGTGCCCACAGATGGGGGGGACCCCTGGCTCTGCCTCCTCTTTGTTCCCACAGGCAGGGAGGACAGAAAGAAATTTATTTTAGCCGGATTTTTTTGTTTGTTTTTTTTAAAGTTAGCTATGTGTGGATTTATTTCCCTTCCATGCTCAGAGCCACGGCACCGACCTGGTTCTGAGGCACCTCAGAAGGCACTAAAGCACATTTCCTTCGGCCAGGTGCACGTTTGTTATTTGTGTCACTGGCTGGTCCAGGTGAAGGCACAGGGAGATGTCTCAGTGGTCATCAGATGCCTTCAGTGGTTGGAACACTCAGCTGGGGGTGGTGCAAACACAAACCATCTGTCCAGCTGAGCTGAGATCAGGAAGATCATCTTCTAGAGCCAAGGACAACAGAGAATTTATTGGAAGGATGCAACATTCCTGCTCTGAGGGAGGCCAGGGGAAAGGAGGCTGGAACCTGCTGCACATACCATGAGAGGATGTGCTGCTCCCCATCTCATCCCCAGCACTCTAATGCTCCAAGTGCTTCCTTTTCTGTGGATAACTCTCCAGCTAATTTGGCAGGATCTGCACGGCAATATAACACGGTAATAAACCCCCAGTGGCTGTTCTGTTCACTGCCTTCTTCTCTCCATTGCTTCACTGAAACTCGAATTTTTCAGGGAAGCTTCCCCTGCCCTCCCTCCCCTCCCTGCTCTCTCTCTGGTCACTGGTGATTGTTTCCAGCTCTGCTGGAGAAATTTCTTAGAAAGGATGGGAATGATTAAAGAAAGAATAATCTGGGAGTGCCTGCAAGGGCCCCTTCTCTCAGCTTCTCTCCCACTCCAAGTGGCTGCAGGAGGGGTCACAAGCTGGGAGTGCCCCCCTGGCACTTGGCTGTCACCCCAAATTCCCTGCCTTGTTTGCAAGCTCCTGATGGAGCTGGTTCCGTGCCCAGCTGCTCCTGCTGTGCCCAAACCCCGAGATGGGGCAGTGGGGACACCTGAGGTGTCCATCCTGCAGGATCCCTCCCATCCACACCCCTGGGCATCGATTCTGGCATGGATTCTGCTGCCTAAGCAGGGCCACCGCTGCCTATCAGCATTTCTCCCTGGATTTTTGGCCAGGCTGATCCCATTTGGCTGCTGAAGGCTGAAAAATGCCAAGTGGGAGGGAGCGTGTGCTGGTGATTCCACGGTGGAAAATGCAGAATTGTTTCCCAAAAGGAAACTCCGGGGGATCGGCGTGTCCTGGCACAGTGCAGGGATTGTGTGTCACTGCCAGCAGTGTCAGTGTCACCTCCCAAAGCCACCAGCGCTGCTTTCCCTGAGCTGATCCCAGCCACCTCCCACAGCTGGACGGGGACAGAGCTGGGAGTGATCCCTGTGCCTGGGTGTGGCAGTGGGATGGCTGGGGACTGTCACATCCCCTGTGACAGAGCTGTGCCAGGGACTGCCACCATCCCTGTGACAGAGCTGTGCCAGGGCAGGCTGGGGACTGTCACATCCCCTGTGACAGAGCTGTGCCAGGGCAGGCTGGGGACTGTCACCATCCCCTGTGACAGAGCTGTGCCAGGGCGGGCTGGGGACTGTCACCATCTCTGTGTGACAGAGCAGTGCCAGGGCAGGCTGGGATTGTCACCATCCTCGTGTGACAGCAATGCCAGGGGTGTGACAGCAGTGCCAGAGACTGTCACCATCCCTGTGTGACAGCAGTGCCAGGGGACTTCCACCATCTCTGTGTGACAGAGCCGTGCCAGGGACTGCCACCAAACCTTGTGACAGAGCAGTGCCAGGGCAGGCTGGGGACTGTCACCATCCCTGTGACAGCAGTGCCAGGGGTGTGACAGCAGTGCCAGGGCAGGCTGGGACTGTCACCATCCCTGTGACAGCAGTGCCAGGGGTGTGACAGCAGTGCCAGGCTGGGCAGCGCTCCCAGGCTGTGCCAGGGCAGCCCGAGGGAAGGGAAGGTTTGGGAAGGTTTGGGAAGGTTTGGGAAGGTTTGGGAAGGGAAGGGAAGGGGGAGCCGCTTTCCAGGAGAAGAGCTGGGAATTGTCCAGGTCGCTCGAGGCTCCCGTTCCTGCTCCCTGCCAGGACCTGAGCTCATGGAAAGGCTGGGCGGGCACCGCGACAGCCCCGGGGGTGGCACCAGCCCTGTGCGTGCCCCTGGGTGCCAGGAGCATTAAATCCCTGCCAGGATTTAATTGAATTTAATTAAATCCAGCTTTCCAGGGCAGCTCCTCGCCGGCCACAGAGCAGGGACACGAGTGCCTGTGACCCTGCCAGGGAGGGGACAAGGGACACTCCTGGAGCTGGGATCCAGCAATTCCACCTTGCCGGGGACCTGCCTGTAGTGGTTTAGATTTGCTAATTTTAATGTACTTGGTTTATGTTGTGGTACAGGATCAGGAGCAAAATTACGGTAGGGCTTAAAAATTTAAAGGGTGTCAAGAAAAACTTGATTAACAATATAAAGAAATAATAAATTCAGAATAAAACCTTTAGACTACCCTTCATCTCCTTTCCCACACCTTTTTAACAACAACACACAGAAACATTTTAGTCTGTTACTAACTTAAATAATATTTTTCAGTTTACTTTAGGGAGAGGTATTTATATTTCTTAGGCTATAGGGACTTTTCCACAAGAAGAAAAAAAAAACCAGTTCTCTCGTGGCTTTACTTTCTACGAAAGGAAATTAAAGGATTTCCCAGAGGCACAGAGAGGTGATGGCCTCTGAAGGGACTCTTTGCCACTGACATTTGGGGAGGAGGAAGGGGAAAGCAGAATTGTCCTTTCCTTTTCCTGTGGTTCAGCACGTTCTTGTGTGGGGCAGATGTGCCGGCACGAATTCTCACAGTGAATATTCAAATGGGAGCTGGAAAACCACCCCAAGCCCTTTTAGGAGCTGGGGGTTGTTCTGCCATCCCATCTCGGGGGGTGCTTTGGACATCTCTGCACGAAGCAATTTGTTCTTCTGGTGGGTTCAGCGTCACCAAGGCCACCCTGGCAAGGACAGCCGGGTCCTGGCGTGCTCCTGCCCCCTGAGACACGCTGGGAAATCCTGCAGAGGGGAAAAGCAGACAGGATGTGCAGGGCTGGACCTGGCTTCGATGGTTTGTGGGAAATTCGGGATTCTGAGAGATCAGAATCAAAGCCAAAAAGCTCCCAGGCGAGGCAGTGGTGCTGTCTGCTTTGCCTCTCTGCTTTCAGGTGCTGCCAGCTCCACTTGTGCCTCCTCCATTGTTTCCCAAGCACTCGGGACAGAGCTGAGGAAACCAAGCCCTAGACCCTACACGGATGAACAGAGGTAAAATTAGAAACCAGGGGAGCAGACTTCCTGCAGACTTCTTCCAGCCCAGAATATCTGCTTTGTCCCTGGAAAACCCTTCACCAGCTTCCCCTCACCCCTCAGGGCTGTCTCAGCTCCTGCTGAGATGCTGAGGCTGGAGCATATTTGGGAAAGAATTGCCTTTGGGGGTCTATTTTAGCTGTGCTCACATTTGGAGTCCCACTTTGGGTGCAAACAGAGCCCCTCTGTTCACACAGCACTCAGAGCTTGAGAGGATCAAGTGTTTGCTGAATCCCTCTGGGAAACAAAACTCCTCATCCTCACCCCTGTCCTGACACGAGCTCAGCTGCAGGACCTGGCTCTCCCGCCAGGGATTTGGGTTTTACCACATCAGGGGTAAAAAGGGAAGAAATCCAAACCAGAGCTCAGAGTTCTCCTTGGAGCAGCTCCCCTCTGTCACACCGAGAGGTCTCAGCCCCTGGAGAGGGAGGCTGGGGTTGGGCTGAGTTTTGGGGACAGATGCTGTGACAAAGAGCACTTTTCTCTCAGGCACCAGCTGCCCTCCACCTGCTGCTGGACACGTTTTGTTTTCCCAGCCTGAGCCAGATGCACCAGGAAAAAACCCCTGTGCTGCTTGGGATCCTCCTTCTAGGCACAGCTGGGCTC